TACTGGAGGTCAAGTTGCTTGGTTTTCTACTGTAGGTACCTTTTCAATGATTTTGATATATATCAACATTTTAAGTTACTAAGGGCTTTTGATTACTAAGGGCTGGGTCTCTGTTCTTCAAAATCTTTTGTTTCCAGCAAAGTGAAAATTTCCTGGAAAGCATAAGGCATTATATTATTCTGACCTGATTCCAGCGGGCATTAACATGTCTTGGAAGGTCAGAGTGCTTTTTGCTTATGAGATAACTTCCCCAGGATGATAAGAAAGTAGTATATTCTTGGCTCATTTGCAGGGAACACCTGTTGGTATGTGGCCTGAAGGGTGGGTACTCAGACTAGAAGAGGAGTGGAACCATGAAACTGCGCAGCTTATCCCAGATCTGGAATCCACAGCTTGGCAAAGAGCTTTGTGCTCAGATTAGTTAGTGATGTTACAGGCACCAGTAGTCCTGGGAGACTGACAACCTGCCATAAAGCCAGGGGCTTCTGTTCACAGAGCAGACTCAGAGGAAGTGGGATTAGGAAGATCTCATTTTAAACTTGGTGGAAAGTCAGAGTTAAATAAATCGATTCCCTTCTAGAAGCCTATTGGGAGAGAAACACATGCAAGTAACAGATATGGGCCAGAATGTTGGGGCCTGGTTTAAAACCAAAAACTTCAGATAAAGATGAATTTTGAAATCCATTTTATTTTTCTTTATCTTAAGTCTCTAGATTACCTTAATTACAGAATTTAGACATTCATTTCACTGACTATAAATGTTAGACTGCATTAGTTTCATTTGTTTTACTCAGTCTTGAACTTTGCATTTTTGGTGGTAAATCAGCCTTGGGTATAAGCTGGGTTTCAATGTTGGTTTTTGGAGCACATCTGGCAGGCAGCAAAGATCTCCTGGGAATTTTAGCTCCAAAGATACTGGCTTCCATTTGAACTTAGGATAGTCTCAGTGATTGTCATTGAAGTTTTATTCACATACCAGAGCACGCTGTTAGCTTGAGCCAGGGTTGGGCTGGCCAGAGCCCCACCTCCCAGGTCAATCCAATCAACCTCCCAAGGTAGGGATAGGTAAAGTCACTCTTTGCCTTACTGTGTTTGGTGTTGCTCTAATAGAATACCATAGATTGAGTAATTAACAAGAAAAGAGATCTATTTCTTCCAGTTCTGGAGGCTAGGAAGTCCAAGGTCAGGGGGCCTGAATCTGGCAAGGGCCTTCTTGCTTCATCATCCCGTGGCTGGTGGTAGAAGGGCAAGGGGAGCCAGAGAGCAAGAGGGGGCTAAACTTGCTTTTTTTTTTTTTTTATTGGGAGAACCCACCCCTGATGGTTAATATGGGTTCTTTTCTATTCCCTAAGCATCTCAGCTGGTTTGAGAAATAAAGGGAAAGAGTACAAGAGAGAGAAATTTAAAGCTGGGTGTCCGGGGGAGACATCACATGTCGGCAGGTTCCATGGTGCTCCCTGAGTCATAAAACCAGCAAGTTTTTATTAGCGATTTTCAAAAGGGGAGGGAGTGCACAAATAGGGCGTGGGTCACAGAGATCACAAACTTCACAAGGTAATAGAGTATCACAAAGCAAGTGGAGGCAGGGCGAGGTCACAGGACGGCAGGATGGGGCGAAATTAAAATTGCTAATGAAGTTTCAGGCATGCATTGTCATTGATAACATCTTATCAGGAGACAGGATTTGAGAGCAGACAACCTGTCTGACCAAAATTTATTAGGCGGAAATTTCCTTGTCCTAATAAGCCTGGGAGCCCTACGGGAGACTGGGGCTTATTTCATCCCTTTGGCTTCGACTGTAAAAGGCGGCCACCTCTAGGGGGCATCTATAGACCTACCCTCAGGGCACATTCTCTTTCTCAGGGATGTTCCTTGCTGAGAAAAATAATTCAGCAATATTTCTCCTATTTGCTTTTGAAAGAAGAGAAATATGGCTCTGTCTCGTCCGGCTCACTGGAAGTCAGACTCCAAGTCTTAGCTCCCTTGTTCCCTGAAGATTGCTGTTATCCTGTTCTTTTTTCAAGGTGCCCACATTTCATATTGTTCAAACACACATGCTCTACAAACAATTTGTAGAGGGTCCTGAGGCAACATTCATCCTCCTCAGTTTACAAAGACGATGAGATTAAGAGATTAAAGACAGGCATAGGAAGTCACAAGGGTATTGATTGGGGAAGTGATAAGTGTCCATGAAATCTTCACAATTTATGTTCAGAGATTGCAGTAAAGACAGGCGTAAGAAATTATAAAAGTATTAATTTGGGGAACTAATAAATGTCCATGAAATCTTCACAATTTATGTTCTTCTGCTGCGGCTTCAGCCGGTCCCTCTCTTCGGGGTCCTTGACTTACCGCAACATTTTTTTTTTTTTTTGAGACGGATTTTCACTCTTGTTGCCCAGGCTGGAGTGCAGTGGTGCAACCTCAGCTCACTGCAACCTCCGCCTTCCAGGTTCAAGTGATTCTCCTGCCTCAGCCTCCCCAGTAGCTGGGATTACAGGTGCCCACCACCACACATTACTAATTTTTTGTATTTTTAGTAGAGACAGAGTTTCACCATGTTGGCCAGGCTGGTCTCGAACTCCTGACCTCAGATAATCCACCCATTTCGGCCTCCCAAAGTTCTGGGATTACAGGCATGAGCCACTGCACCCGGCCCCAGACTCGCTTTTATAACAAACGCAGTTTCTCCATAACGTACCTACTCCTGCGATAACAACATTAATCCATTCATGAGGGCAGAGCCTTCATAACCTCATCACCTCTTATTAGGCCCTATTTCCCAGTACTGCTGTATTGGGGATTAAGTTTCTAACACATGAACTTTGGGGGACACATTCAAACCATAGCAGCCTTATAGAACCATAGGAAAATGCAGCTGTGTCCTTCCTTGCATCTCCCTTGCATTGTAAAATTGCAATTACTGGGCAATAGGCTTCATCCAGAGAAGTCTTTTGTGTCTGCTGTGGGCCGTGGGAGCAACCACAAGGACCTGTCCTTGCTTCCAGGGCCACACAGTCTATGATGCCAGGAGAGAAGAGCACAGATGGTTTTGGGGGCTGGGGTGGAGCATGAAGCCTTTATGTGTTGGAGAACAGGACAGCTTTGGTGGGGAGAGAGGAAAGTCTAGATTAAAGGAATAAATGGTTTTTCAAGTGATGTGCAAGAGAAACTCATAAGATTTCTATGGATGTTTTCAGAGAGTGGGGGGAAGCCTGGAACTACAGCTCATGATCAATTGTAGGACCATGTAAAGCGGTTCAAAACATCTAATAAGCAGTGTAGCAGATGTCAGTCTTGGTCTAGACTCATCATGGTCCAGGAATACAACTTCTTAATTTTTCCAGGATCAACTTAATGCTGAGAAACTCCAAGCTCTTGGGTCTAATATTCAGGTCAGAGGCTCTGGTGCCCATTTTGAGGATCTCTTTCCACTTCCCCTCTGCCAGTGAATAGGGGGTTGCTGGGGAGTCCATGTCTAGGTTCTTACCTGCCTGTAAGGGTAAGAGGAGTATCTTTGTTTTTTTTTTTACTGAGACAAGGCCTTACTGTGTCACCCAGGCTGGAGTACAGTGGGATAATCATAGCTTACTGAAGCCTCAACTTCCCAGGCTCAAACAATCCTTCCACTTCAGCTCACCAAGTAGTGGGACTGTAGGCATGTGCCACCACTAGCTAATTAAAAACAAACAAAAATATCTGTACAGACTGGGTCTCACTAGGTTGCCCAGGATGAGAGAGGGGTATCTTGCTGCTCCTAGAACACATGGCCAGATGCCTCCAGCCTCATCTCCAGGCTCTAAGGATTTCGTTTTAGTTTAAGGATCTGAGGAATTCTCTCTTTATATTCGTTGCTTTCCTTAGAGTTCCTCCCTTTGTCCTCAAACAGTAATCTCATTTCAGGATACCCAGTATTACTGCCTCAAAAGACTTGGACATTTGAGCAAGGAAGGGAAGTGTTTTGTCACACACACACACACCCCCCCCCCCCACACCCATCCTTGAGTCAAGGAGAAACTGAGCCTTCCTGTTTACATTTTGAAGGTATAGGATGGGAGGAATGAATGGAGAGAAAATATAAATTTATATCTCAAAAATTATTCTGCCATTAAAATGTAACACATTTTCGTTTTCACAACTAACTCTTAAGGTCCCTAGAGCCGAGATGAGATGTGGAGCCCCTTAGTTTCCCTGGGTAAGAGCTTGGGGTGAGGAATTAGTAAACTGATTCAGAGTTTCCCCACAAATAAGAGTAAATATATCTTCCCCAGCATCTTTAATTCTCCAGCTCTTTGATAACCAAATAAATGTCATGCATTCATGTTGACATTAAAAGTGTTATAAACTTCATTTGGAAGGTTCCTATTAATAAACAATATTTGCTTCCACTAGGAGCAAAATTAAATATTTAGTTAAACCAATTTTTGGGTCTCAGGACCCTTTACACTCTTCTAGAGTCCTGAGGACCCCCTGAGAGCTTCTGTTTATGTGGGTTACTTATATCTATTGATGTTTACCATATTAGAAATTAAAACCAAGAAATTCAAAAAGTAATTAATACAAGGATAAAAAAAACTCATTACATGTTAACGTATATATTATAATATATTTTATGGAAAATAACAGTACTTTCCAGAATAAAAAAATTAGAGGAGTGGCTGTTTTCCATTTTGCAAATCTCTTTAATATTTGACTTAAGAGGAAATAGGTGTATTCCATTATCTGCTTCTGTGTTCAATCTCTTGTGATTGGTTGCTGAAGAAAATCTGGCTTCACATAGACATGCTGTTGGAAAAATGAGGTCTTCTTGGACCCTGAAAGGGTCTCAGGGACCCACAGGGATCACTTTGAGAACTGCACATTTAAACAGATAAACTACCAGGGTATGTGATGGGTTTTAAATGAAAAATTGTCTTTATTGAGAATTTGAGTCAACCAGGGGTGAAATCACAGGTGTGTTTTACATCATGTATCTTGAACGTTGCCCTCTCTTCTTACAGAAATACAAAGAGTATGAGAAAGACGTTGCCATAGAAGAAATCGATGGTCTCCAACTGGTAAAGAAGCTGGCAAAGAACATGGAAGAGATGTTTCACAAGAAGTCTGAGGCAGTCAGGGTAAGTGCCTCTGGTTTGTGCCCTGTATCGCCTGAAGACACAAAGGCAGCTTCAGGGGATGGCATTGATGAACCAGCCTCTCAAAGATAAAAGTTGACTCACTCATCTATTACGTAAATACTTTTATTTTTACAATCTGGTTAGCCAGAAAAAGCAGTCACTAGGGGCAAAAACTGCCCTTTTCATAGAGAGTTCCTGTGCCAGTTTTATTCTGACAAATTTATGCCTTTAGCTGAGTTGCCACTAATTGTACAGCCGTACAGCATGGGCCTATAACTGTATGATGCATGCACTAATGACCAAAAACCATTCAGAGGTACACTAGGGTTCAACTAAGCCCTAGTCTGAGCATTTTCTTGTGTCACTGTGTTTAGTGATTTTCTCAAATGGTTGCATAACATTTCAATCTATGAGTGTGTCATAATTGGTATAACTGTTCCTATATATTTGGATGTCTGAGTTATATGAAAGTTTTTATTGGCCAGGCGCGGTGGCTCACGTGTGTAATCCCAGCACTTTGGGAGGCCGAGGCAGGCAGATCATCTGAGGTCACGAGTTCATGACCAGCCTGGCCAACATGGTGAAACCCAGTCTCTACCAAAAATATAAAAATTAGCCAGGTGTGTTGGTGGGTGCCTGTAATCCCAGCTACTTGGGAGGCTGAGGCAGGAGAATTGCTTGAACCCAGGAGGCAGAGGTTGCAGTGAGCCAAGATCATGCCACTGCACTCCAGCCTGGGTGACAGCGTGAGACTCTGGCTCAAAAAAAAAAAAAAAAAAAAAAAAGACAGTTTTTATTTAAGAGATGTGGTCTTGCTATGTTGCCCAGGCTGGTCTCAAACTCCTGGACTCTAGTGATCCTCCCACCTCAGTCTCCTGAGTAGCTGGGGCTACAGGTATGTACCACCAGACCTGGCTTGCTTGCAAGTGTTGACGTAAATAATGCTGCAGTGAATCTTCTTGTATATTTATAATGGACCAACCAACCAAGCACCTACTACATGTGAACTGTTCCTTTAAGGACTATATATGTACTCACTTATATTATCCTTGTAACACCTCCATGATGGGTATTACTGTTATCCCCATTTTATAAAAGAGGAGTCTGAGAGGAAGACGTTGAGTAGCTTCTCCGAGGTCACGTGAGGAGTGAGAGAGAGCTCCAGCCATAATAACCCCAGAGTTCACATTCTTTTCTGCCTCCTTGCCTTCAGTATCCTGGAGTGTATGTGTATTTCCTTAATGTGAATTCCAGAACACAGAAGACAGTTCAGAGGCTCAGAAGCAATCTTCAAGGTTCTTTATGCATATGAAAGCATTTCTGTCCAGATAAGGTTGTGCCAATTCACAGCTGCTCCAGTGGGAGTGGTGTGCAAGTGCTTATTTTCTGAAATCCTTGCAAAAAAAAAAAAAAAAAAAAATACTGGTAACAGCATTGTCAATTTGAGAGGGGGACATATTGTTTTAGCTTGCATTTCTTTGTGAATCACAGAATTTTAGAGGAGAAAAAGGCATAAATATCTTTAGGTTCTGCTTCCACAATTGACAAAGTAGCCCTGGTGTCTGGAATTAGGGGAGCATTGGGAGGGGCGGGAGGAGGGGGCCATGCAGCATGCTGCCATGACACAGAGGTTCGGCCAGCACCAGAACCTAGACCTCACCTCCTTGAGGCAGTGGGCCCATGTGGTCAGTGAGACATGGGCTCTGAAAGTAGTGGAACTGTCCCGAATCTCAGTTCTGCCCTAAGGTGGGAGACCAGTGAGCAAAGCTGAGTAACCCCTGTGAATCTCTTTTTCCTCATTTATCAGCCTGGCGGCATTAGGAGAAGTCAATGATGTAATAAATACATGCTTACGTTTATTGAGTTCAGATGCACCAGCCCCTGTGCTAATCACTTTATGTGTATCATCTCATTCTTGCATCAACACTAGGAGTGAGACACTGTTGTTATCGTTGTCTTAGAAATGACCAAACAGGCTTGACAGGATGAAGTCATTTGCCTAGGTCACATGGGCAAGGCTCAGCAGAGTTAATTTTTACACCTAGGTGGTGGGGTTGCAGCACCTCTGTATTTATGTAAGGTGTTTATTTAGCTCAGTGTCTGGCAAACAGTAAATGTTCTGTAAATGTTTGCTGTTACAGCTGGTTAAAGGGCCTTCCAACCTGTGAACATCTGATAGGAGGTAGTCTTGGAGCTTCAGGAAGCACCTGGATGATGACAGGAGGGAACATGAACTGGGTTTAGCGTCTTCGTATTGCCTAATTTTAAAACCTTTTTGTGTTAAATTAGTGAAGTTAAAAAAAAAAAAAAAAAGACGATTTGATATGGTGGGTGTAGTTCCTTTGAGAAGAAAAAATAAGTTGCTCTGTTTAAATTGAAATGTTCCCAGAATAAAGGCAGCCAGATTCCTTGCAATGCGTATTCTATGTATTTTAAAATAAATGCACAGGCCTTCTGTAATCACGCTTGATGCTCAAGCCTGTAACATCTTGGTTAATTGGTCCAGTGTTACGTGGATTTCACCATGCCCATCTTTAAAGAGAGTTTGTACGTCACATAGGGGTTTAGTCTGGGGACAGTAGAGATGGGCCTGGTCCTCACTGTGAGCCATGTGGCTCTCTTGTTAACAGTCAAGACCCATATGCCATTTGGAATGAGATATCCCTTTGGAGGCCAGGGGAGCAGTGAGTGTGACTTTTTTCATATTTTAATGATACCTTGATTCTCCATTAGGAAAAGTTGCTGTTTGCCTGTGAGATTTGTGAACATTTGAAGAGCAAAGACCTCAGGTCCAAATTTGCCCATGGGTTTGCAGGGGAGTCATTATTTGTAGCCTTGCACTGGAATGCACCACTGTGAAACAAGGTGAGGTCCTTTCCCATGCCACCCACCTGACAGTGACTCCACCCCCCTCTTTTCTTTTTTCTTTTTCTTTTCGATTCCTTTTTTTTTGAGACAGAGTCTTGCTCTGTCACCCAGGCTGGAGTGCAGTGGTGCGATCTCAGCTTACTGCAAGCTCTGCCTCCCGGATTCATGCCATTCTCCTGCCTCAGCCTCCCAAGTCACTGGGACTACAGGCACCACCACCACGCCTGGCCAATTTTTTGTATTTTTGGTTTCACTGTGTTAACCAGGATGGTCTCTATCTCCTGACCTTGTGATCCGCCCGCCTCAGCCTCCCAAAGTGCTGGGATTACAGGCGTGAACCACCGTGCTGGGCCCCCACCCCCCTCTTTTCTAATCGCTCAGGAACAGAACAGATTTTAGGTTTGGCCCTATCACTCTGATGCTCCACACCTAGGAATCTTCCATTTCCAAGACCCCCTCCCACTTCCCAAGCAGTTGGAGTTGGGTCCCAGGTTCAGGTGCCCCACCTTGTATTTCCTAGTGTGAATCAGTGGTGACTTGAGGGACGTGTGTAAGAGAAACCTGGTTCACAAACAACCCTGATTTATTAACATTTCCATTGATGTATATAAAATATTTATGAGTCTGGCAGTAGCAATTTAGGAAACTGCAATAAGAACACGTGTAGTCTGTGAAAGTAGGTTCAGTTAGTACTGGGGGGGAAGAAATGGAGTACTACAATAACCCCATCCTTTAATGTAGCCTGTCATCTCCTGCCTGTTAAACAATGTTGATCTCTTTCTCTGTCTCTTCTGGCTTGATTTCATCATTTTCCTCCATCACTTTTCCCAGTGATTAGTTGAATCAGAGTGATTTTATCATCCTCATCTCCTATTTGAATTACTCTCCACTATGCAATTATCCTATCACAGAAAGTCCTATTTTCTCCCCGTCAGATGTCTGAAGTAAATGTGAAACCTAAAGTGGCCTGCCCATTACATAACCCCTGTCATCTCATTGGTAATGGACTATATGTAACTTTTTTTTCAGGCTAGCAAATTATAAATAACCTTAGCTTCAGTAATTTCCATTAACATAATGGTGCTATCATTATGGTAGCATTTCTTAACTAATATTTTCTAGCTCTTTTTAATGCCATTGGTGGTTTAAGTAATTTTTTCACACCCACGCAGGTTATTTGATACGGCCATGCTCCTGCTTGCTTTTGTGTATAGCAGTTGTGTCCTAGGCACCATCTCTCACCTTCATTGTTCAGACATATTTATGCTACCAGGCCCTCAATTAATATTGCTAAGCAATTTGTCAAGTTTTAAGTCCCTATGAATGGACAAGAAATGGAGTCCATTTGCTTTTAGTTCATCAGCATTTCACAGGGAGAGATCTCACATGTTGGACGTGGAGGGAAGGGTATGGACCAATCCTCTGCCAACTGTGGATTCCCATCAGCCCATTCCTAAGTGACACCTGGAAATGCTTGTCTGTGTCACAAGTCAGAACTCATCTTTGATATTGATGGAAGGCAAAGGGGAGACACCACTCCCCTTTCTCCTGAGTTGCTGTTGTTGAGAAATGGACCCTGATTTGAGGGGAGGGAGAAGGCAGAAGGGTTATATTGCATGACCTTGGTTATATGGACAGGCTGCCCCCAGCCTTTCCTTTGTCTTTAAAATCCGGCCCTTCATGGGGAGTATCACAAACTATCGATCAACTGGAAGCGTCATTTGGGGCTCCAGGGAACTCTGAGCAGGCACAGCCAAATGGGAAGAGAATCTGTAGGAAGTAACTGCGTAGCCACGGATATGTCTGATTGTAAGGATATACTTTGAGGACCAATTCCATCACAGCCAGGGGGATGTCATGATCCTGTAACTTTGGTGCGGTTTGTATCACTGAGATGAGCAGCACAAGAGAAAAGCAAGTAAACCAGGAAATAAGAAAAAGGACTTTGGTGAATTTATAATTGTATACTAGTATTCTCCAGAATGGTTTTCTAAAGGTGAATTCCTCCGAGTGGATTTTGCCTTTGGTTGCACCGAACAGCTCTGGGGTGGGCACTGCCTTCATCACACTGATTTGAGCTGGACTTAGGACGTCCTCCTGTTTTCCCAGGTGTTCCTGGTTTCAGGGCCAGA